GCTAGCACAGGCAGCTACCCGAGCCACGGGTCCTCACCACTTTGTGGTCATGGGAGGGGATTTCAACACCTATGGGCCCAACCCCCTCGACCGGTTGGCTCCAACACCAAGAGCCAGCCCCAGCAGTGACATCGGCATCGCCTTCCAACAATGGACGCAGAGCATAGGCCTTGTCTCCTCCTTCCGTCACCGCCACCCTAACCTCCAACGGCACACATACGCCCGCAACAACACGGCCGTCGCTCTCGATGACATCTACATCTCAGCCCGAACAGCCCACAAAGTGGGAGCCAGTGGCATCTGGCTGCACACAATTCACTCCAGCGACCATGCAGGCACTCCATATATGGCCCTAGACCAGTGCCCTGGCGACCACACCCCATCACGACTTACTGGGGTCAAACCCATCCGCGTTGTCAACACCGGCAACCTTGCAAAGGCTGACATAGCATCCTTCGGTGTACACACATCCAAACTCCTCAGCGAGGGCAAACTACCCCAACTCACCCCAGCACCCCCCCTAACACCGTCACAGCATGGTCCCCCCAGGAAATCGGGGACTACGATGCCCTATGCGCCATCCGCAACCTGTACCACATCCTCTACAACAGCGCGAAACTCAAATGGGGCGAAACCAGCCAAACCAGGAAAGCCCTCAACAGGGCAGTAGCGATACAGCGAACCAACCGGTGCACCGCACAGCTACGCCAACTGCTGCGCCTCCACGAGGCGGCCCCGCGCACTGGCATGGAATACACCCGACTCGCCCACCTAGTGGAATGGCCCAAGTGGATCTGTGACCCCACCCTTCTCCCCCACACGTGCTGGCACCGCGCTGATGCTATTGCCATAGGAGAATGGTGGACTACCATGCCGACCACACAGCACCCCACTCCCGACTGGGACCACTGGTTCAGACAGGGCCTCGCACGCTGGACCAAGGTCTGCCGCAAACGTCGGGACTGGCGAACTACCAGCCTACGCCTAACACGGATGCAACAACTTACGGCTTGGTTTAACCGCAGTCAAACCCGGAAATTTCTCCGCTCGGCCCTGGGCAATACTACACCGCCCATCTCTATACAAAGCGTAATTGTCCGCCCAACCGATGGACCTCCGCGATACAGCTCCAACCGCGATGAAGTGGCTGCGGGCCTCCGCCACCTTCTGGACAACTGGATCCCCCCGGCGGAAAAACAACGCGTCGTCCGCGACTGGCTACTCCAGGACATGGACCGACCTGACGAAGTTGCACAAGCCTTCCAATCCTCGGCGGGCACTACCTGGGACACCTACCACTACGATGAAGACATGCAAGCCCGCTGCGACAGCAGCCTCCGCACACGTGTATCCCCAGGATATGGGGGCGTCTCCCAGGAACTCTGGATCGCTGCCCCTGCATGCATACGAGCCAGGGAACGGGTGATCAT